TTCCACCAACCACTAATATTTATGTCTTGTCAGTGAGATTATAGTAAAAGCTTGAAACAGTAAAGAGTTTAGTAAATACAAAGTTTTTTTTTTTTTTCCTGAATTAGTAAATACAAAGTTAATATAGGCAAATTTGATTTCCCAACATAAAAACTCTCTGTCGACGCGGCACAAGTTTATTGACTGGGCGAATCTGATTTGCCCTAATATTGTTATTGACCTAGGACTTAAATGTAATATAAATTTTGTGTATAGAATTTTGAAGGCTAATTTTGTCTTTAATGAAAAATTTACTCAAGTTGTTTCCTTTCCCCTCAAATCTTGTCAAAATGGGAGGGATTTAATTAGAGGGATAGGCTATCCCTCCAAATCCTTTCTTTTCTTTTCTATTCTCTTCATCCAAACACACTTATCCCTATCTTTCCCTTTCTTTTCTCTCCAAATCTCTCTAAATCCCTCAATCCAAATGAAGCCTTAGGCATCAATATTTTTGAAATGGGATTATCATGAACAAAAGCAAAATTGCTTGTATTATGGTATGAATTGTTACCCATCAACAAAAATGAGATTACCAAGAACCAATTGTCATCATCAAGAAACGGAAAAAGAAAATTCAATAAACAATTGAATATAAGTCACCAGTGAACGAGCATGAAAATCAAAACTTCCAAAAACCTAAATTTATTTTTCTGTTTGGGTGAGGATGGTGATGTTGGTGATTGTGGGGATGATGGGTATAGTGATTGTGGAAGTGGGAATGGTGGTGGTCGTAGAAAACATGTCTCGCTGGAAACTATGGAATCCATGACTGGGGATGACTGGTTGCAAATAAGGAAAACGCACTGTTGATGTAGAGATGAAAAAAAAAAACAAATATAAAATGACAGAAGTAGACCTAATTGACATGCTAAACAACAAAAATCAGGGGCTTTTGTTGTCCAAAAATATAATTACAAGTCCATATATATAGCATATAAAAAGCAATAAAGATATATGATTTAATTTATAAAATTACAAAACATTTAGGTATATTTTAGTCTTTTATTTAATTATTATAGGTTAAAGAGTTCTTTTGACAAAGTCAAAGAGTATTTAAGTCATTTTACATCTCTGAGACTCTGACATCATGTGCATATGAGGGGTGTGAGTGAAAGATGAAAGAAACGTTTGTAATGTAATTGATAACAATTTTTGTAAAAGACGAAAGAAACGTTTGTAATGTAATTGATAACAATTTTTGAAAATTATTTCAATGTAATATTTGACCAAACCTGAAAGGGTGTTAGTGTAATTACTTATTATTACTTACTATTTTTTTTTTTTTTTTTGTATTATTATTATTATTATTAGGTAAAAATGCAATTGGTTAATTGCAAGCTGCCTTCGTGAAAGGCATTATTGATATTTTACAATTTTGTTATCTACGTTTGGTGTGCAGGAATTGAATGGAATGCAAGTGGGAATGGAATGAGAATGGGAATGGAATAGAATGATCATTCTCATTCTATTGTTTGGTTGTAATATGAAATATGTAAGAATGGAATGATAATAACCATTCTTGTGTTTAGTTGGACCAATTTAAAATTTAGAATGGAATAAATTTCTAATTGAATTCTCCAAAATATCTCTCTTAGTAACAAATAAATTAAATTAAATTAAATTAAATTAACAAAATGATATTCTCTAATAATTTTTAAAAAGTAAATGGTGGCAGTGACGGTGGTGGATGGTGGAAAGCGGTAGTAGTATAGGTGGTGGTGTTGGAAGGCGGCGATTGTGGTAATGGTGGAAATTGGTGGCAGCAGTGGTGGTGGAAGGTGGCAGTGGTGTTAGTGGAAGACAGTGGCAATAGTGTGGTGGTTGTGGTGGAAGGAGATAGTGGTGTGACTATGGTAGTGGTGGAAGGCAGTGGAAGTGGCGGTGGTGGTGGTGGTGGTGGAAGGTGGTGATGGAAGGCAGCGGCGGTGGTGGCGGAAGGCAGTGGCGGTGGTAGCGGTGGTGGTGGTGGCGGTGGCGGTGGTGAAAGATAGTAGCCGTGGTGGTGGTGGTGGTGATAAAACGTGGTGGAAGACGATGGCGGCGGCGTTGGTGGTTGTGGAAGGCAGTGTTGGTGGTTGTGGAAGGCGGCGACGGCGGTGGTGGTGAAAGGTGGCGGTGGCGGTAGTGGAAGGTGGCGGTGGTGGTGGTGGTGTAGGGTTGTGGCGGTGGCTGTGGTAGAAGGTTGTGGTGGTAGTGAAAGGCGGTAGCAATGGTGGTAGTGGAAGGTGGTGGCAGTGGTGAAAAGCGATGGCGGCGGTGGTGGTGGTGAAAGGTGGTGACAGTAGCGGTGGTGAAAGGCGGCGGCGGTGGTGATGGTGAAAGGTAGAGATGATTGTGGTGGAAAGTAATAGTGGTTTTTGGACTTAGAATATGAGGTGCTTTGGGAAGTTGATTTTTTAAAATAAATTACTTGGGAATGGAATGAACATTCTATATGTTTAGTTGTGGAATGGATTTTCATTCCTATGAATGGATTTTCATTCCAATGGAATGGCCATTCCCACTTTAAGTTGCATACCAAACAAATGAATGGTTAAAATAAGTATTCCATTCCATTCCTACACACCAAACGTAACATTATAGTAGCTTTTATAATAAATACTGTAAATAAGTGACGGTAAATAAGTAATTTAATTATTATTATTTTTTTCAAATAGTAAATAAGTAATTTCAAAAAGTTTAGGGTGCGATATGTAATGCCACCACCTACCCTACGCTCTTCTGTTCTGGTCAGATCTGTCGGTTGTCTATTCGTGTCACAACTTTCTACCTGTCTCGACGTTTCTATTGTGTTCTGATATGATCTGCCGATGCCGGTTTTTTATACTTGCCGATTGTCTATTCCGATCAACTTCGCCGGTAGACAAACGTGAGTAAAGACGACAGCTTTCTACCTGCCTCGCCATTTCCCTTTTGTTCTGATCAGATCTGCTTCTGATCGTCTTAGCTGTCGGTGTCTCTGTTTGATGAGGTTTGCATCTACAACTTCTATTCTGACAGGCTAAATCTTATCTTACTTATTCAAATACTAATAATTATTTATTGTGTTTCTAAGTTAAATTATTTTATTTTATTTTATTTTATTTTACTTTAAGGTTGTCAATGTTCTATTAGGATTTCACACTTAACCGAATTTTATTAGGATTTGTTCTTTTGCCAATATAAGTATTTAATTAGAACCATCCAAAGAGAGGTTAGCAAAAAAAATCCCACAATTATCATGAGCGGTATTTTATTTCTGTTTAATGATTTTTTGATGTAATTTTTTAGACCAAATTACCCCCTCAACATTCGGTCCAAATTTGTCAACTGCAAAGTCAACTGCACAAGGGCTTCACATAGACGTTGACCGAGTTTTTCTTTGATGTCAACAATACATACTTTTGCACATTGTTCAGTCCTCCAAACCCGGTCCCGTCGGGTAAAATGGTCTATTTGACTAATACCGCGTACTAAATACCATAATAACGTCTTAACACTCATTACAAATCACTTTGGTCCACTTGTGGTTGTGGAAATCAACTTAATCCTTAAGTCCATCTAATTGGGTCCCATATATCCTAAAGGTCAGGTAAGACCCACACTAGGAGGCTCGAAAGGTTCGGAGAAGGTAAAAAAAAAAATAATGGGTACCCTTCAAATAACGAGCGCTTGTCCGCCCCTCACCAGCGCTCTTTGGATATGCTAGGCGCGCCCACGCGTTGCGGCATGCCCCCATGCTGGATGAGCGCTTGCCCGCCCTAGTCAAGCGCTTGCCTGCCCTGGTCAAGCGCTTGACCCTGCCCAGAAATGGGGCTCCTTGCCCCTTTTTGCCCCCGGAACCTATTTTCGTTGCGTCCTTTGGTTGTTTTGTCCTTCAAAACCCTATCCCAACCACGACAAGTATAAATAGCCAACTAATTGCATTCAACACCATGGTTGTGGCCTTATGGAAAGAAAAGAGATCGAGGAAGAAAATAAATGAAGGGAAAAGAAAATAATTTTTCGAATTTGATCGACATGTCATGGCTGTGGCCCTATTGAATTCAATTTTTAATCAGTGCTACCTAAGTTTTTTTTTTTTTAAGTCTCTTGCTGTACTCTTTGACCCTGAAACCTTCAAATAAGATTTTTATTTTTTGGTGGTTAAGAGAGGGACTTCTAAAATAATTTGGTTGTATACTTGCAGGCATATGGTTTTGATTAATGCCCCTAATTTAATATTTATTTCTAACCTGATGCGAAATGGTCGTATACAGGATAATTTTTTTATTTTTTAGTATACTAATATAAATATTTTTAATTAAGTCAAAGCAATAAAATATATAATAACAATAAAAATGAATTACAAAAACAAAATATTGATTTAGGCTCTTTGCACTCCTTGGATAAGGAAGGGTTAGACTTAGAGCGAACAGCCCTATATGGAGATGGTAATTTGGGGTATTGGGTTGGGTTCAAATTGAACCCAGCCCAATTAATTTGAACCCAACCCAATTCGAACAAACTTGGATTTTTGATAAAACCCAGCTCGATTTGAGCTCGATTTGTAAATTTAAAAGTCCAAATTCTAAAATTTCTGGGCTGGGTTTTGGTTGGGCTGGGCTGGGCTAGCCTAAGTTGCACTCGTTCTATCAAGCATGAAAATGCAGGTTTGAATCTTTAAAGTACTTACCTTGTGCAAATAATATTAAAATCTTTATATTCAATCTGCCCTTCGGAACCGCCTCAATTAACGGGGATGACAATGCCGTAATGATCATTTTGATAAAGACTTGGATAGCCAGAATCATTCATACATTCATATATAGCACTAGGAGGGAAGAGTAAGTCACAACTAATCATATTCAATGAAACAAAATAATGCTCGCTTCAAGGAACAATTCATCATTTGCCATTGCAGAGTTTCTAAATTAATCAAACATTATTCAATTAATATAAACTTGTAATATTGTTAAAAAAAAAAAAAAACAGGTAGTAGAGACGGGAATACAATTTAAAAAATTAACCAAATAGAAAACTAGCATCCTTCTTTTTACATTTTTCTTATCTTCTTGTTTGAATCAACTTATATTATACCAAGCTAAATAAGCCTTTGCACTTTCCTACTTTTCACAGTACTTCTATGGATATCTGTTTGCAATAGAAAAAACCAAAACAAGAAAGAAAAAGAACATTCTTCAATATTACACGGCTTTGGGTGATACACACAAACACGGAGAGACATGATATATACACACACACATATATAGAGAAACCTACCTCGAAAGCTAATGGTGCCATTGTTGAGCTCTATAGCGGCCAATGAAGTTCCTTCCTTATCCACTAGAAACATGGTGAGGTTCCATTTGATCCACCTTTACTGGCTTTAACCAAATACTATAGTTGGCCCATTGATGTGTTCCTGTATAGCAAAGAAATCTGATTATATAATATCACTGAACCAACTGAATGACATGCATAAACAAATTTGTGAAGTTCGATATAATAACTGAATAATGTGTCATTTTCAAAGCCATGGATATGAGTAGAGAAGTTCAAGTTCATGCATAAATGGATTAAGCATTATAATCAAAGGATAGAAATACGATAACAGGGAGCAAAAACAAGTTTGTGAATATAATTTTAAATAGTTATTTCATAATTACTCAAAAGAAGATCCTGTTCCTGTATATAAGGGAATTTTTATTTTTTATTTTAAAAAAAAAAAAAAGTTCAAGATAAACCAAAATCCAATCTTTTCCTTTATCCTTTGTATTTGTTGTTATGAAGACTGGGTATAGTTGGAAGCCGTAAACCCACTTTTTCGGCCCCACAAACAGAATCACACGATACCATATTGGAAAAAAAAAAAAAAAAAAAAACTATCCGCAATACTAAATTTAAGATTAGTAAGAGAGAATTAAGATGATAAACCGATATTCGAGGAAATGAAAGAAAAAAAAAAACATTTGAATATAAATTAACAACTAAGGAAACAGAGACCAGATCTCAATTATGTGTTTGGATTAGATAATAAGTTTTTAAATTTTTAGTTAATAAATGATCCTCTATAAAATTAGTGATTACTAAAAATATATATTTTAAAATTCTCCAATGACATACCGAGTAATGTTGCGCGTCCATGACTGGATGAATACCCCACTTTTTCACCTTCAACGGTTGTCCATCAGGATAGGATCCATTAATTGAAGCCTTAATGTAACACCACCCATTAGAATTGCACATCCATCCTGTATTGGGTATATGTAAAAACATGATGTGATCTGACGTGATTTTGTTAATCCAATCACCTATAATATAATCTACAATTTTACTGGTGCTGCAGATAGAAAATAAATTCCGATTCTCTTCATTGTGATTGTCATTGAATGGTCTCTCATCACCGTCATTGATTCCGATAACAGCGCAAACAGAAACTCCTTTGAGGTAACGTAAAGAATTTGTATCGATCCACAAATACACCAGAGTCATGTCCACACCTTCACTCTCATATTTTATATGGCTGAACCAACTTGGAATCTCACTTCCTGGAAAAAAGATCTCAGTGTCTCTTCCCTGTACCATAAAAACCATACATGAGGGGCTTTTGAAATATATTAACAGACATAAAAACCATACATGACGTATACGCACAACAAAATGACAAATACATACGCCTACCTGAATATCTTCACTTTGTGAATAGTATATATTTGGCTTCTTGTTCCCATTCCCATGATTCTCAACTAATGTGTGGCTCTCTGTCAAATTGAAATTGAAATTGCATCCATCACTTGTTCGAATGGAATACCCTTCTAGTGATGCGCAACCTTGTGCCAAAACTAGTGTTGTAAATTCTGGAAGTGACAATGTTTGGAGGCTTGAGCAACCACGCAAAGCAAGACATCGTATGGATGATGGAAGCGACTCCAATGTTTGGAGCATTACACAATCGTCCAAATCAAGTTGATAAAGGTCTGTAAGTTGAGAGAAGCTTGACCGTAAGCTAACAAAGTCATTCCCCCTAAGATCTAATTTCCGCAACGAGTGAGGAAGATTGAGAATGGATTCTTCATCTAAATTGCAGTTGCCCCAATCTAATTCTAGAATACTCAACTGTGCAATGGATGATGGTAACTTTTTTATGCCACTACAATTCAACCAAAGTTTCCTTAAACTCTTCATTTCACTAAACATATTGTCCGACAAACTGCCAAGCATTTTGCACTCCCACAGATGTAACTCGATAAGCCCTTCGAGATGTCCAATTGATGGAGGTAATTCTTTTATTGCAGTCCCATTAAACCGAGCATCCTCTAAACATATCATATCTCTATGGAACTCTGGAAACTTCTCAAGTTTTGAGCACCCAGTCAGATAAAGAAATTTAAGAGATTTTAAATTAATTCTTGTTGGGAGATTCTTCAGATTTTTACATTTCTTGAAACTCAACCAAATAAGCCTTTTGTGAAATTCAATAGACGGATGAACCTCAACTAAACTTATACAACCTTTAAAATCCAATGTCTCCAGACATGACAACCTTGACAAATTAGGAGTTTTCTTCAAATTTTTGCAGTAGCTGAGATCGACGAATTTTAACTTATCTTGAAACTGCTAAATCAAACAATTAAAGAATAAAAGAAGTCAACTAAAATCAACTCAAATATAATTATCCAACAGGAAGATGGGAAATGTATTTAAAGTAACAACCTCACCATTAACTTCTAATCTTCTCATCTCATCAGAAAGGGAAAATAGAGATAGAAAATACAAGACAGCTACATGTAGTGTCCCGTTTCCTTTAGTTTTCATTTTTCATTTTTCATTTTTTATTTTCCTTTTCTATATCTCACATCAAAAAATAAAAAATAGACTTAGAAAAATAAAAGGACACGGGAAAGAGAAAGTTACTGGAAATTACCATTTGTTCAATTAGTTTATTTCAATTTGCATTCAGTGGGGCATTCACTGGGGTATAGTTAAATGAAATGTAAGAGGTGAAAGTAAAAGTAAGAGGAAGTGAGTAAATGAAAAGAAAATATATTTTCCAATGTGCAATTTAAAGAAAATTAAAAAAAAAAAAAAAAATACCATTTCACAGTTTAGAATACATGAAACTCGAAAGAAAATAAAGTACAATATTGTAACCACATAAAATTTTCTCAAGAAATGAAGTTAGCTGAATATGACTAAATTACTTTCCTTCTATTTCATTCTAATCAAATGACCAACAAAATTTTGCCTCCTTGTCTATTACCGATTTGACCCAAACATAGGATGTACACTTCAGTTTGATTTGGTATAGAAGGTAAAATTAAAGAACCAAACTCATCATAACTGTTTAAGAATAAATTGAAATCAGTAACCTCAAACAACCTAAACTGAACCATTCTGGAAAAAAACTACTTGCATTGGCCAGCTTCACTAATTGAGCTCATCCTAAAATAAAATCCAAAAATAATAGGTTAACTTAAATCAAGCCTTATATAAACATAATTTCTATGATGTAGATAAAATATTTCTCAATTTTCCATTTGAGATTGTGTTCCTAGTTTCTAATCTAACAGGTAGTAACATGTGTAATGTAAGCCTGCGATAACAAAAGTTATCAAATCAAAATAAATAAGTATATATATATATATATATATATATATATATATATATGCAAGCATTAAGGTTCAATAGAATTTTTTTATTTTTATTTTTTTGACATCTAAATGGTGACTACTTTTGAAATTAAAAGTGAACTGTTGATTAATGAAACTGAATCAACTCATGTAAAGAACCTTCTTAATTAATGAATTGACATAGTATCTAATTTAAATCTATAATACCATTTTAATTAGTTAATTAATCTGGTTTTTATTTTTTATTATGAAAAATCATAGATTTTTTAAAATGTTCTGTGATGAACCTAAGGCTCATGTGTTTAATTATAATTATGATAATAGTTATCATAATTATTATTTGCATGGACACTCTTTTAACTGTGCCCCATTAATCTGGAGATGTTCTTAACAATTTTTTCATTGTAACCTTAGTGAGACTGCTTCGGCAGTAGTTGAAAAATGAAAATGACCTAACAATTTTTTTTTTTTTTTTTTTTTTTTTTTTATCTTTGAGGCATTGTTTGCTACTTTCTTATGGGCATAAAATATAATATAATCTTAACTGCCCATGAATTCCAAAATATAATATAATCTTACTTAAAGAGTTGGAATCCATGAGGTCGGTTTCATTGGCCTGCCGACATGGGAACTCCAACAAATTAAGTGTTTTTACAAAATTTTCCTAATATATATAAGATATCTATGACTTTAACTAATCCAAAAGCTTTTGGAACAAATAACTTATGATATAAATTATCTTCAACCAACTTGACAAAGTATTTTGCAACCTGCAGTTAAAATAATAACATTACCTTCTTGTCGTCGAATCCAACCTCAACCAAGCTTTCACAACCTTCAAGACGCAAATCCTCCAGAAATGGGAACCTTGAAAAATTAGGATTTTTTCCCAAATTTTTGCAGTAGCTCAGATTAAGGACTTTTAACATCTTTGGAAACTGTTAAAAAATAAATAGTCAAATAAGTTAGCTTCAATGGACCGGAGAAATTATTATTTTCAAAAAACTGGAAAAAAAAATTACCAAAAGGAAAATAGGGTGAGTAAAATTATCATCTTACTTTTGTATTCGACCAAATCTCTTTGATCGGGCTATAACGTAAATGGAGTTGAACGAGATTTTTTGGATGAAAATTGTTTGGCAAATGTTCTGCGGGATAGTCACTCCAGTTAAGATACCTTAACTCATTTGAAAGATACTTAGGGCATTCATGAAGTTCCACGCCACTGATTATGAGTATTCTTAGCTTCCTCATCTTTGTGAAGGCATCTACGCTTACATGCAACCTTTCCTCTTCTTCAACGTCCTCCAAAGATAATTCTTTCTTAGGTAGCACAACGCCTTCAATATTTTCTGTCCCCTATCAACCAAGAAATAAAAACCTAATTAAAATTATACAACATCATAGAAGACTACATGGATAATACAATACAAGAAACTTTTTTTTTTTTTTTTTGCACATCTTACACGAGGAAATTAAGAAACTAACATATATGCCTTTAACACGTACCGTATTTTCAGTAAATACTTTATATATGTCCTCATAAGACCACAGCCTGCTACGCCTCCCAGGATCATCAGATTCTTGACGAACAATTTCTCGACCCATTTCTTGTATCAAATCATGCATTGACAGCTTGTTGTCTTTTGATATATTAATGAGGCACCGCTCTCTAAGAATTTGTATTCCAAAAGCCGTGTCAGATTCAGACCTTTTAGAAGCGTCCAGGACATGTTTCTTATTGTATCCTTTGAAGAAACACGCGATATCAAGAAAAGTATCCTTTTCTTCCTTATCAAGGCCTTCATAACTAATTCTTAAAACTTCATGAATTTCTTTGGGAGGCTTGGTCTGCAACCTATTCAATATAGTTAAACAATCTTGCTTGCTTCTTTTACTGAAATAGGAACCCAAAACTTGAAGAGCAAGTGGAAGGCCTTTGCAATAATCTTTTGCATGGTGTGAAAGTTTCTCATATTCTTCTTTAGGCTTATTTTGCTTGAAAGCATGCCAACTAAAAAGTTCTAGTGCTTCACTGTCATTTAGTACCTCAATATCATATATTCCAACATTGTATTTTTCCAACAGCCATTTCTCTCTAGTTGTTATGATGATCCTACTACCATTTCCAAACCATTCCTCTCCGACTTTTCCAACAAAGTACTTCAATATATTTTCTTTATCTACATCATCGAGCACTAGAAGAAGCCTTTTATTATGAAGTCTCTCCTTTATCTCATTGATACCCCTATCAGGATATGATATGGTTATATTTTTATCCATTAGGATCTCCCTGAGAAAATTGCTTTGTAGTTTAGCTAGACCACCATGATTTGTTGACTCTTCTCTCACGTTTTCAAGAAAACAACTTCTTTCAAAAGTTTTTGATATCCTGTTGAAAATTGCTTTGGCTACAGTTGTCTTACCTGTTCCTCCAATTCCACAAATCCCAACAAAGAGCTGATCCTCCTCAAGCAAAGACATTATTTTGTCCACACGTGCATTGATACCCACTTCATAGTCAGCAACCTCGAATGGTTTAGGCTGCAATTTTTCTGAAATCACTTGAACAATGCGTTTGATAAACTTATCCTCGTACCTATCAAGGAGAAAGCACATTAAAATCAAAATGTAGAGGGAGAAAAAAACAAAAAAAAAAAAAACAAAAACAAAAAACAAATGTATAAAGGGTATTTACTCATTATAACTTAATAAAGGCAAAATAAAAAATAAATAAAAATAAAAATTAGAGTTGAAAAAATACTTCTAACAACCCATTGCTATAGTTGAAAATGCTGACATCAATTTGATACTAACAAATATAAATTAAAGTGAGTAAATTAGTGTTTGGAAGAAATTGGAATTTGTATAAAGGAATTTAAAATAAAATAATCTTTGTACCAATTTGGGATATAGCAACGTGCATGGCAGTTATGAAGGAGATTTTTAGAATTAGAGACAATAAAACAGTTAATAAAAGGATAAAATTGTAATTACATTCCAAATTCCATCAAATCCTTTCATTTTTCCATGGATTTCTCCACATTACCAATTTTCCTTTAGAATCCCATCAAATCTGCCCTTTTCAAATTCCATCATTCCAACCAACTGAAATTCTTTTAAGATTTCAATTCCTATCAGGTTCCAAACACAGTGTTACAGAATTTTACTTAAATATGGAGTTTACCACCAGATAATGGGGCAGGGCAGTTTAATTAAGATAGGACATATTGGACTGTATTGTATTAGGATGTTAATAAATATAAAATAGGATTAAGTGCAAAAAAATAATCTCATAATATGCAAAATGTGTAACTACTCCCTATTGTTCCAAAAACCCCCTTATTGTTTTCAATTTGTGCAAATAAGTACAAATCATAATTTTGGCGATAAAATTACTAAATTAACCTTACTTTATCATTAGCGAAAAAAAAAAAAGAAAAAAAGCAAAAGACAAAATATCAAAATTGCCCTTAAAGTCATAACATAACAGTATAAGGACTATAAATCAGTGTCACAATATTTAAAACAAAATTACCATTATCCTTCCAATACATTCAAATATATATATATATATATATATATATATAGTTGCTAAAAATAAAAAATTTATGGACCTACATCACTATCTACACGTCAATCTCACTTATCAATAATATATTTTTTTAAAACTGTATTTTATCCCACTTATTAATGATTTTTGAGAAATTGTGCTTAATGGTAAACCAACAAGGGAAAAAAAAAGTTAGTGGTAAACCAAATAGGAAAAGAAAAAAGTTAATGGTAAATTCAAAAAGTTTGGCTCGCGTGATTGTGGATGGAAAAATCTCCCTCCAATGAGAACTGTACACGTCATCGCAATATAAATACCCATCACAAATGTAAGAGGCCCATCCTTCTCAAAGCCCAGTCCAAGTTCGTTGACAGCCCAAAATCATAAGACACTAGCCCAAGGTCACAGCTAATTGATCTCTGTAGCATTGCTCAAGCCCGAAACAAGAGATCCAGCCCATTAGCAATGTCACATGGATCAGGTTACTTATAACCCAAATCCATTGAAAGGAAATTAGTCCTATTAAAAGAAGGATACAGCAAAGAAAGAAACTACTACACAAGGAAAATTATACAAAGTAAGGAGCTCTATTTGTAAAGAATTTCTATAGGGAAAGAATTGGAGGACAAGCAATGCAAGTCCTACCATAATTCAACCAATCTTTTGTGTATAAATAGAGGCCTAGACCTCCAATAAAATGATCAAGCAATTCTACGCTTCTCTATACACTGTTCTTATTTATTTTTATTACTTTTTGAGTGAGTTGTTTTATTTTTCTCAATCATTATTGGTTGAGCGAAATTTTGCACCTACACTTTGGCGCCGTCTGTGGGAATCGTATAGAAATATATCCCCACCAGAGTTACACACTTCAAATTAAAATCTTCAAGTCCAGCAACGTGACTTGAAATTAAAATCTTCAAGTCCAGGATTTGAACCCAAGTCCTCTCCAACAACGACTATCATGGCCAAAGGTCTCCATGTAACAAGGACGTCCAAAAACGCAAGCCGGCCCACAAGGTTCTTTCCATCAACAACGCCGCTTAATATGCTTTTGGACAATAATGCGTAGCAAGGCTGATGAATGGAAAACCCAAGAGGCATCACATGTATTCGCCCTGGTAATCAGATGTCTATCCGAGTTCGAAAAGCCTTAAATTAATCAGATAAGTGTTCTGATCTTGATTTCCTATTGATTTTGATTATATATACATATAATCTTGAGAAACAAATCTAAACATGCATAATTATTATATAAGCGCTAGCTAGAAGTGATTAATTAGTCGTGCTTTGCTACTGGCTTTGCTACTGGCGTATTATTATTTCAGTACTACATCACATGAACAGAGGTGTTGGGTGGACCAGTATATTAAGATCTCAATTGTTGGGCAGACTGCCCAATCCATGATCTCTCGAGGAAATTTTTGCTAACAACTAGTATAATTTGTTTATGCATCTCCTTCTAAGGCACTTCTTAATATACAAGGGAATCAAAATTTGCTTTATTTTGAGTTTTGACATCCATGCTTCAATAGGATTTTCAATTTTACTTGTTCGCGACTTGTTCCCGTCTAAATTACCAGAAAGCACAGAAGAAGACTAATGACACACACGCACTATATACGTACATCATTATTTGATAGTTTAGATCAATAAGCACTTCGCCAACATAGCTTCATAATCTGAATGCGAATATATGAAAGTGTGTATGAATCTCTTAAAATCACCAAAAACCAATTAATTTAGCACTCTTTTTGTACTGTTAATTAAAGGGTTTTATTTCCTTACTGAACTGAACCATTCTTTCTTCTTCTTGAGTTCTAGTCAAAGCTGTAATGCAAAATAAGAGGAAAGTTAAGACACAAACACGAATATAAAAAGACTAGTATGTTCTCATAAATATGTTCTTTTACTACAAAATATATTTGTTGGGTGATGCTAATCTGAACTCAAGCCTATTGAGTCGAGTTGATCTTCAGAATTCAAGTTCGTAACTTAACCATCAGGCTAATAGAAACAATAATTTTGAAAAAAAAATAACTTTATGTTTTTGAAGAAACTTGAATTCTCCCTCGCTTATTTATCACTAGTAGGTATACCTTACTTAATGGTCTAAAAAGAATTATTGATGGAATCTATTGCAAAATCTGATTTATTTTTACATATTCTGGTTAATTTTTATAAGACCAATTATTTCATAGACCATTCATCTCAAAAACAAGATAACAGCAATAAAAAAGTACTACATTTGTATGACACCATCACTAATGTGGATAAAAAATAAATAAAAAGTTTTTCCCAAATATATGTATGTGCGTAAATACTAGTCCGAGAATTGAGAAATTAGCTTATTGCTTCGTGCCCTTGAACGTAATCTTTTCTCAATAGCAAAAAAGTGAGCTCCTGTACCAGAATCCTTTATTCTTCTTCTTTGGCAGCTGAGACTTCAGCTCTCTCTTAGCAACAAAATCTTCCTTCAGTTGTTGATTTAGATTTTGACTGCTGGGATAGACTTTCTTTAATATTGATCCTATATTTTATAGGGGATACCTAGCAGACTTGCCGAGTTATAGTCATATGTTTTTTCACAAGGTCTGTTTATTCATTTATTATTCATTCAATGGGCTCTACCAAATGGCTGCAGTTCATAGATCAGCAAGGCCACAGGAATGAAACAGATGAGATCTTCTGCTAGCTTATCATAGATCTCCATCATCACAAATAATTTCTTATGTTGATGAAATTTTGCATAACTCCATTGAGACTTTGCTTTTGGATCTGTATCGCCTGAAGTGCTTACTCATGTATTTTGCAAATGTTTTAGTTATATGTTTATAGTCCTGAAATCGCTTTCAACTTGTATAATCTCAAAGAGTGCAGATACTGCTTGTATCTTCATACACTCGCAGCTTGGGTGGTTCAAAATTAAAGCCCTTTGTATCAAAATGACCTCTAGATGGAAGATCTGGGGTTTGCTGTGCTTATTTATTCGGAAGTTACTTTTTTGATACCGTGCCTTTTTCTAATTACAAATTAGGATGTTAGATAGCACTATAATTTGCACCTACAATATATCTACTTACATTAATGAATACAGAATCATTGTCTTCATATGTGAGGCTGTTCTGCAGGACCATTATACTTGTCACAAAGGTATTAATTCTTCTCAATTAAGGATTAGTGGGTATTGGATTATTGGTGACACCAGCATGGAACACCATAATTCCGGTGTTCCATCAACTTTGTTCTGGTATGGACCTAAATCTCATTTTATGATAGTTATTCTGATATTTTGAAGAGAAGCCAGGGACTTGTTATAGAAGGAGATTTGAAGAACGAGATTATATGAGTTTGGATCATGAGCCTCAATTTAACTTTTTACCTAGTGTTATTCTAGGTTTTTATTTATATCTGTTGGGAATTTCTCATAGTGATATCTTTTAGCTTTTTTGAAGTAATTATTTCTATGCCAGTTTGGATCATGAGCCTCAATTTAACCTTTAATTGCTTTCCGTCACTATTTTCATATCCATATCATATGGATTTTAAAGTATCTATGAGTCATTCTTGCATATACGCATAATATTGGATGACATCATTGTTTTGAATTAGAGAGAAACAAAAGCAGAAGTGAGGAAAATAAATAATGCATGGATTTGTCTGTGAATGTTAACCATGGCTAATATGTCAATTAATTCTCTGCAAATCAATTAAGTGGCAGTAAATTGCAATTCTAGATTGCTTTTGGAGCATTACTTTTTATAATTTGGTCTATTGTTGAAATTCGTAAACATATAGCATACATTGAGTAATTTCACTTAAACTCTAAATGTGGTTTTTGAAGTTGACATATATGTTATAAAAGAATAAATACTTATTGGTAGTTAGAATTTCTATTTATATATTTTATTATGATATATAAGAAGTTTCTGAAATTCTTTCATTCAAGCAGTAAGCTACAGGTTACACATGGACGGTTATAAATAGTTTTCTATTTATTTCTCAGTCTTATTTGATCTTATATATTCTATTATGATATATAAAAA